ATATCTTCCCCTTCTATTTGCCAGGAGGTGATGTGACCAGTGGCCGTGATCTTAGTTTTTTTTATGCTGAGCTTCAGACCCTTTTTTTTGTCCTCTCCTCTTTCACCCTCATTAAGAGGGTGAAAATAATAAATACATTATTTTAATGTGTGCAGACAAATTCCTTTTTCTTCAGGCAAGCTTTCCCAGAGCGCTAGGCTACATGAGGGCAGCTTTCAGATGGATTGTTACTGCCTTACTGCTCTGAGTAGCTCCTTAGTACTACTTGTATCTGCCATCTCTCAAACTGGTATTTTGTTTGTTCCTTTTTTAATATTTGTATACTTACTGTTTCAGCTTTAATATTGTCTTTTAATGATGTAAACCACCATTGTACACTCATTGTTTTCAGCTTTGAATATTGCCTTTCAATGATATAAGCCACCTTGGGTCTTTCTTAAGTAGAAAGGTGGAGTAAAAATATTTGAAATGAATGAATAAATACATTTAGAATGTGGTGGGAAACCAACCCCTTTGCCCCCTTCACAAGCATCTGTTGATTTTAGTCAACATGAGTCTTGTTATGGTTAGACTTCAAATTTAGGCCCTCTTTCTCTCCTGCTTCTGTCATGAAGGGAGGCAGAGAGCATGCACTCATTAATGGGATTGGCGTATGGAGCCTTTGTTGCTCCAGGTTTCTTCTGAGGGCCTGGCTGGTTACGTACCACAACCTTCAGCTTCTTCTTCACACCATCAGACACCATCACACCCCAGACAGCTGCTTTGACCTCAATGTCATGGATCCCCACTTCCAGTGGGACAACCACTATTGGCATTGCCCAGGATGACTGCTTTTGAATTCTAAACTCCTGTCGGTAGCGTTGCTTGGCAGTGGAAGCGCTGCAGAAGGCGGGGTTGTGCATCAGCTCCACCCGCACCTGAGGAGAACAAGAGAAAGGGGTGATTAGGAACATTGCCTTGCCAATGTGAAAAACTGAACAAGGAAAAACAGAGCTCCTTTTTTGGGTCAGGAAACAGGAGGGGACAGGTTCATTTTTATGATCAAAAGGAAGAACCATAATTATCATTATCATTGTCGTCGCCGCTGTTGTTGTTGTTGTTGTGATGATGATGATGATGATGATGATGATGATGCCGCCACATTTCTCCCAACAAGGGACCCAAAGCGGCTTGCATTAAAATTCACACAATTTTAAAACACAATAAATTAAATATTAAAAGATAAATTAAACAATATATGATTTAAAATATAATTAAAAGATTAAAACATGAAAACATAAAAAGATTAAAATTATCTGCTAAAATGGGGTTCAGGGATTCAGTTGTAGTTGTTAAAATCCTGCCTGAAGAGATGGGTCTTAAGGTTCTTTCGGAAGGATAAAAAGGGAAGGGGCCATCTTGATCTCCCAAGGGAGAGTGTTCCATAGCCTGGGAGCTGCCACAGAGAAGGCCCTCTCCTGTGTCCCCATCAGCTGTCCTTGTGTTGGCAATGGGACCGAGAGGAGGGTCTCCTCTGCTGATTTTAATTGCTGAAAAGGTGTATATAGGGAGATACGATCCTTCAGGTAGCCTGGAACCAAGCTGTATAGGGCTTTATAGGGAATGACCAGCACTTTGAATTGGGCCCAGAAATCGACTGGTAGCCAGTGCAGTTCTTGAAACAGGTGTGTTATATGCTCCCTGTGGCTGGCCCCAGTCAGCAGTCGGGCTGCAGAGCTTTGCACCAGCTGAAGTTTCTGAACTATCTTCAGAGGTAGCCCCACATAGAGCATGTTACAGTAAGCCAAACAGGATGTAACTAAGGCTTGTGTCATTGTAGCCAAATTCAACATTTCAAGGAATGGGTGTAGCTGGTGCACCAGCTTCAGCTGGTCAAATGCACTCCTGGCCACTGCCAAGACCTGGGCATCCAAGGTTAGGGATGAATCCAGGAGTACACCCGAGCTGCGGACCTGAGTTTTCAGGGGGAGTGTGACCTCATCCAGCGCAGGTAGTATCCCTATTCCCTCATCTGCCTTCTGACTAACTAGGAGCACTTCTGTCTTGTCTGGATTAAGTTTCAGCTTGTTTGCCCTCATCCAGCCCATTACTAATGCCAGGCACTGGTTTAGAGTCAAGACCTGGAATTAGAGTGATTGAGTTGAGTGTCATCCTCGTACTGGTGACACCAAACCCCAAAGCTCCGGACAACAGTGGTTTCATGTAGATGTTTAAAAGCATGGGTGACAAAGGAGAACCCTGAGGAATGCCACAGGCCAATGGCCAGGGCATTGAGTAAGAGAGTCACCCAGCACCACCTTCAGAGTTCTCCCCTCCAGGAAGGACTAGAGCCACTGGAAAACAGTGCCTCTGAGTCCCATCCCAGAGACACGGCCCAGAAGAAGACCATGGTCGATGGTATCAAAAACCGCTGGGAGGTCCAGCAGAACCAACAGGGACAAACTCCCTCTGTCCAGTTCCCGGCATAGGTCATCCACCAAGGCGACCAAAGCTGTCTCTGTCCCATAGCCATGCCTAAAACCAGAATGAAATGGACCTAGATAATCCTCTTCCTCCAGGAATCCCTAGAACTGAGAAACCACCACATGCTCCAGTAGGTTGCCCAAAAATGGGATGCTTGGCCAATACACTGGGATCCAGGGAGGGCTTCTTCAGTAGCAGTCTTATTACTGCCCCCTTTAAGCAAGCAGGGATACTATCCTGCAGCAAGAAGGCATTTACCACTCCCTGTACCCAATCGACCATTCCTCCTCTTGGCTGCTTTTATGAGCCAAGAAGGGCAAGGTCCAGCACACATGTGGTGGCATTCACCTCTCCAAAATTCCTGTCCACATCATTAGGCTGCACCAACTGAAAAGTATCCATTAAAACAGGACGAGCCGGGGCCAAATTTACACCCACTGGGTCTGTATGAATTGCAGCATCCAAGTTAGAGTGAATCCAAGCGACTTTATCTGAAAAGTAGCATGCAAATTCCTCACAGTGGGTTGTGGAGTGGTCAATATTTTGTTCTTTTGGTGGGGCATGTAGTAAGCCCCTGACCACATGAAACAACTCCACTGGACAACTTAGGAGCGATTGTGTCCACCACCCTGGCCATTTCCCCATTCCAGAGATCAGCCAGAGCTTCAACAGGATCGCCTGCCAAGGCAACAGAAAACTCCCCAAGAGCCGTCAGAAAACCACTTGGATCCATCAGTCTCCTGGGGCGGACCATCCTAATAAGTCCCCTGCAGAGAATAAGAGTTCCAGTAAGTCTAAACCTCACCAGGTAATGATCTGTCCATTACAACAGAACTACAGAGAGCTCCTCCACACCAAGATCACCATCATCCTGCCCAGCATGAAAAACAAGATCCAAAGTGTGCCCTGCTAAATTTGTGGGGCCAGAAACCACTTGGGACAGACCCATGGTTGTCATGCAGGACATGAAGTCCTGAGCTGCTATCAGCCTAGAGGACTCCAACATCACCTCCGATACCAACTCAGTGATCTCAGGAAGGGAGACTGTTGATCAGCAGGTTGGATGGTACACCAACAGAATCCTTACTCTCTCCCAGGCACCCACCTTTAAGTATACACACTTGGACCCAGAAAGCTGTGGGACAAGGCACCTGGTGAGGGGGATGGAATCATGACAGACTACTGCAACTCCACCTCCCTAACCCCCAGGTCTGGCCTGCTGCTGCACAGAGAAACCAGGTGGGCAAAGCTGGGACAGAGCAACTCCCCCAGCTTCATCCAGCCAGGTCTGGATGAACAATGACACACAATTCACTCCTAAACAGTTTATAAGTACAGTTTGTAAAAGCTGTGGCAGAATAGTTGAATATACCTATGTAAACTTCAGGACATTTCCTTTTTAAAAAAAACTGATGCTACTTAATATTTGATTGTTTTGTGAATCATTTACTATGCATTGCCAGTATGTTGTGTTTAAGGGAAGTACTCTCAGATCCCCTCTAGCATCACTCTGTGAAAATATCTTTTAAAACAGTGGTCCCCAACCCCCGGTCTGCAACCCAGCAGTACTCCGTGGCCTAGGCAGGACCAGACTGCGGTCACAGATCTCCTGCCCATGTGCATGCGTGCAACACCCACCCCACCCCCATAGTTGGGAAAAGGTTGGGGTTTTAAAAGACAAAAGACAAAACAGCATGCTCCTGTCAAAATGCCCCTAAAATGTTTTAAAAGTTATCTTTCACAGTAATGTGACAATGTTACTCATTGCATCAAAAATTAACTTTCGGACCACTTGGTATGTTTTTTATGAAATGAAATTTAATTACACCTTCTTTGCCCAAAGGAGTAATTACTCACACATAACTTACATTACATATAACTGTTTACTTCCAGGATCTTTCCCTATGGCCTCTCAGATGATTGTTTTCCAGAATCCAATGGAATCCCTAGGAATACATTTCCAGAATCCCAATTATGAATGCTAATCAGAATCTCAAAGCTTACCATAATATCCCAATTTTCATAGTTGTAGAGAACAGCCTGAATCTTCACCTCCTCGTTTCTTACCACCGAGTAAGGCACCCTCAGATCAATGAAGAATTTCTTCATTACCTTTATTTCATAAGGCTCAGCCACACAGATACCTGCCAGGGAGATCAAGAGGGAAGGAAGCAGGATCAGAAGAATCCATGACACCTGCACATCAGACTTTCTTATCCAGAAAGTCTCTTCAGTGTGAAAATTGCTTCAAGGAGGCAGACTGCAGTCCAGCATTACTTCCCTAGTTGAGTTTTCAGATTCCCCCATCATGAGCTTTACCTTTTGTTTCGGAAATGCTCACAGCCAACACCTCCCAGGTTGTGATGGAATCTTTCAGGTAAAAATACACGATCTTGGATGAGATCCTATGTACAATGAGAAAGGTATTGTGCCATGTATAAGGGAGACTGTTTACAGTAGAAAATTGAAGATGGGATCTATATTTAATTATATTCATGATGCTGCTGCTCAGCATGTAACTATCTCTTCATAACTCATATGATGACTCTCCCTGTCCTGATGTTACAGCTTTGTTTGTACACTTTTTCTTCCTGCTTGAAGCAGCCAACGAAAGATCAACAATTAAAAAATATACAGGAGTTGAAGGAAATGGGTCTACCAACGGACTGGTGGTTGATGTTGAAATTAGAATCAAGGTTTAAAAAAGATTAAATAATGGGTTTTTATGAGGGGAAGGTACAGGTGGATGAGTCATGGATTTATACTAATGATAAGATTATACAAAAATGTATCTTTTTTTGTTAGAGTATAATTTAGAAGACGAAAGGGTGAAAGGAGTGATGATTAAATTTCTGTTGTATAATTTCTTGTGTAGTATCTTATCTGCCTCCATTTTTTTTTTAATTTATTGCATGTCCACCACATATGAAAAAAAGTCCCAGGTTGCACAAAATTTTTGTTATAATATAGATATAGATGATTGGACACAAATGTGGAATGACAACTATAAACAGATTAAGCCAGTAAATTTGGAAGAAAATGTCTTAAAGATGCTTTATAGATGGCATCTCACACCTATAAAATTGGCAAAAATGGTATTGGGGGCTAGCAACTCCTGTTAGAAGTGTGTTAAGCAACCTTGGACTTTTTTCATATGTGATAAAGTAAAAAGAATTTGGAGACAGTTAAGATATTACACAAGAAATTGTACAACAGAAAATAGCCTTTAAACCAGAAATGTGTTTACTGAACATACAGTAATGCCAGAAATTGTTAGGGGAAAAAATTAAATATATGCTGATACACATATTTACAGCTGCAAAGCTGATTTGGGCTAAAAAATGGAAAAATCAGGAGAACCCGAAGGTTGAGGAGCTGATTAAAAAATTACTGGAAATTGCAGAAATGGATAGCTGTTCAGAAGCGTTACGTGAGAACCCGAGAGCATATGTTAAAGAAAGCTGGAAAATGTTCTATGACTGGGCCCAGAAACAATTATGAACAAAGAATATAGCATTTGTTATGGATTTTAGTACAGTGACTCAGCAATAGAATCAAGATTATACTGTATTATTGTAGCCACTAGGTTATATGTTTCGTTTGACTTTTTCCCCTTTATCTTTGTCCTTTTTTTTCTCTTCTTTTCTTCTATGGTTGTTTCTTTATGAGTGTAGTTTATGGTTATTATGTGATGTTAAAAGTAAAAAATAAAAAGAGAGGAAAAAAGAAGAAGCTGCCAAGCTCTGACTCAGAGCCAACCTAGATGAGATAGCACCTTGACAAATAGAAGCAGTGAACATTTGATTATCTTCCAAGAGGTTTCCCACCTCTGAAAGCTGCAAATCAACTTGCTTTTGGTTGTGGGTTTTTCGGGCTTCTTGGCCGTGTTCTGAAGGTGGTTTTTTCCTCATGTTTTGCCAGTCTCTGTGGCCGGCATCTTCAGAGGATAGCAAACTGTGCTCTGGTGTAGTTTGGCTAGGGCGTGGAGTATTTATGGCTGTGAGTTGGGATGATTAGTGTGTATTGTTGTGGGTGTATTGTTTTCTGTGGATGGGTGATTAGTGTGCTTTGTTGTGGGTGTATTGTTGTGATAAGGAGATTATCTGTCACTGTGGTTGATAGTAGTGATCCCCTTGACCTTGTGGTGGGGTAGAGTTTGTGACCTTTTACATGCTGTATTTTTGAGAGCTGGGAGCCAAGTTTTGTTGAGTTTCAAACTTTCCTCTTTTTTGTTGAAGTTTTTCTGGTGCTTGTGGATTTCAATGGCTTCCCTGTGCAGTCTGACGTAATGATTGCTGGTGTTGTCCAGTATTTCAGTATTTTGAAATGGAATTTCTTGTCCAGCTTGTTTTAGGGCATGTTCAGCTACTGCAGATTTTTCTGGTTGTTTTAGTGTGCAGTGTCTCTCATGTTCTTTGATTCTGGTGTGGATGCTTCATTTTGTGGTTCCAATGTATACCTGGCCACAACTGCAAGGTATCCGGTATACTCCTGCAGTGGTGAGGGGGTCCCTTCTGTCCTTTGCTGACCGTAACATTTGTTGTATTTTTGTGGTGGGCTTGAATACTGTTTT